ACTTTTGCTAATTGGAGACAGATTAGACCAATTTCATAACCGAAGCTTAACTTTATGAACCCATAACTTAGCTGCGAGGGATGACATTGAATCATCCGGAAAGTGAAGCCCAACCCATGTGTTCGAAACCAAAGAGTAAAATCTGAGCTTTTTAACCACATTCTCTGAAAGAAAAAACAAGGAATTCTTAGCAATATGAGTACCCAGTTAAAAAAACAAAAGAAGTGAGCAATGATCTGAAGATATACAAGACAAAGTACTGCATTCGGAAGAAGCCTATTAATCAACCCCAATTCAATCTGTCTGATGCACAAACAGAATTCCAGTCCAACAAGGAATCCTCAGAAGATGCCCCTGCTGCACCGCCTACTGCAGACCATGTTTAATCCTGATTCAACTTCTCTTTAGTCCACGTGTTGTAATCCTAGTTCTACATATGTATGACTTGTAATCCTATAAATATCAATGCACATTGCTCACTCGATCATTGAGTTGAGATTCATAATTACTATGTTTCATGGTATCACGAGCCAGTGTCACGACAAAGGTTCATATTATAATTTTTTTTTCGGTCTTTTACAGTTATGGCGTCTTCTTCCTCCTCCGCTGTTGCTACTCCCTCTGTCACGAACTTTCTCACCATCAAGCTCGACCGCAACAACTACCCTCTCTGGTGTTCTCAGTTCCTTCCCTTGCTGCATAGCCGCAACTTATTGTCTTTGGTTACTGGTGAAACCAAATACCCGTTTACTTTTCTTCTTGATGACAATGGAAAACTCACTGACAAGGTTAATCCATTATATAGTGAATGGATACAAACTGATCAGATGATCATTTCTTGGATTACGAGTTCACTTACTCCCAAGGTTCTTGCTACGATTGTAAAAAAAAATTGACTCAGCCTCTGCCTGGTCGTCCCTTCAGGAACAATATGCTTCTAATTTTCACAATCATATTATCTAGATGCGTACTGAATTGATGAATACTTATCGTGGTGATCTTTCTATCGCTGACTATCTTGACAAAATCAACGTCATTGCCGACAATCTTGCTCTTTTTGGTGCCCCCGTCTCTAAATCCGATTTAGTCGCCATTATTATGAGTAGAGTCGGTCCTCAGTATAAGACCATTGTTGCGTTTGCACAAGCTTGTGACACTCCCATCACCTACAATTCATTAGAAACTTTATTACCAAGTGTCGAGCAACCTGCCACCAGTCGCACCCACTTCACCGGTTTCATCTACTCTCGAGGTAAGTGACTTGTCTCATTCCATGGTCACTTGAGGCAAAATGGGCATTGGCAAACCTAATCCCAAATATGCTTGTGTTACTACTTTTGCTAAAGGCTTAGTTGAGCCTACATGTTTTAGTCAGGCTAATAAAGATTATGAGTGGCGAAAGGCGATTGCTGACAAATTCAATGCCTTACAACGTAACGACACTTGGACTTTGGTTCCATTTCAACACACTATGAACATTCTTCCGAATAAATGGGTGTATAAAATCAAGCGGCGCTCTGATGGATCAATTAAGCATTACAACGCACAGTTAGTGGCTAACGGGTTTCATCAACAAGAGGGTTTGAACTACAGTGAGATGTTTAGTCCCGTTGTTAATCATGCTACTATCAGGTTAATTATCTCCATCGTTATTCATTTCAATTAGCCACTTCGTCAACTTGATGTTCAAAATGCGTTCCTCCATGGTTCTTTGAGGTACCGTTTGGTACGTGGGATAGGATGGAACGGAGTGGGATGAGGCGTTCCGTCTCACGTTTTGTGATCCTAAAACGAGTGGAACGCGCTGTTCCACTGGACGAATTTTGGGTGAATTTTCGTTCCGCCTCACCCCCATGGAACGACTCGTTCCACATCCGTGGAACACAAAATTATAACCTCTCTGTCTCCTTCTTCTTCCTCCTTGTTTCCATCCGAGGGCATCTTTGCTCCCTCTCCGTTCCGTCCCGTCCTGTCCCGTCCTGTCCCATTCCGTTCTGTCCCGTCCCGTCGGCATACCAAACGATACCTGAGTGAAGAGGTCTATATGCGGCAACCACCACATTCATTGATCCTCAACGTCCATCTCATGTGTGCAAATTGCAGTGTTCCTTATATGGTCTTAAACATGCTCCTCGCGCATGGTTTCAATGTTTTTCCTAACACTTGGAGAATTTGGGTTTCATATATTCTCATGCAGATTCGTCGTCATTTACTTTCTTTGATGGTTCAGTGGTTATTTACCTCATTCTTATTCTTGGTAATAAAATGCACCATATAACTCGTTTGATTCATCAGTTGGGCACATTATTTTCCATGAAGGATCTTGGACTACTACATTATTTTTTAGGCATGGAAGTTCATTGTACTAGCACCGGTCTTCATCTTACGTAGACAAAGTATATCATTGATCTTCTCAAACGCACCAAAAGGTTGGAATGCAAGCCAATTTCGACACCATCAATTAGTGGCCAACACCTCAGTCTTTTGGATGGCGAACCATTGTCTGATAACATCGAGTTTCGTAGTGTTGTGGGTGCCTTGTAGTATCTTCTCTTCACTCGTCCTAATATTGTGTTTGTCGTTAACCAGGTTTGTCAGTTTATGCATAAGCCCACAACGATTCATTGGGTTCTGGTTAAACGAATACTCCATTATCTTAAAGTTACTCCAAATCATGGGATTGTCTATCACCCGAGTTATTGCCCAAGTTCCCTTCAACTCACTGCCTATGCTGATACGGACTATGCTGGGGATCCTGATGATAGTCAGTCAACTGGTGGTTATTGTATTTTTCCTGGTGACAACCTCATCTCATGGAGCTCCAAGAAGCAAAGCGGTGTCTCACGATCAAGTACAGAAGTTGAATATCGTTAATTTGCCTACACTGTCGTTGCTCTCTCTGGGTATCATACCTTGTTTCGGGAGCTTCATCTCCCTCTTTCTCCACCCCGCATCTAGTGCTACAACATTAGTGCAATCTCCATAGCCTCCAATCCCGTTTATCAACAGCGTATGCGGCATGTCAAAGTCAACTATCACTATGTCCGTGAAAAAGTAACTCGCAAAGAGATCATTGTTGGCTATGTCTCCTCCACTGATCTCCTTACCAAGGGATTGTCTGCAATTCGTTTTGAATTCTTGTTGTCCAAACTTCCAGTTCGTGGCCTCCATATCAGTTTGCAGGGGAGTGATAAAACCAACTCCAATTCAGTCTCTGTCCGATGCACAAGAGAATAATCTGCTTCCGATACTACTCCATAGCATCTGTGATCATTTGTTTTTGAGCCAGCAACACTTGACCAACTTTATTAGGTAATGGAAGAGAATCACCCTCAACCTGATCAATCTTTTCAACCGTATCCACCATCGGTTTCTCTTGGGGTTTCTCAGATTTAGAATCAATCGAGATATCTTACATGCTGAAAGAAGATGTACAATGTTGCGATATCTTGAACCTATATCACTATTTATCCGTTCTACTCGAAGTTACGTTAGAGGAGCAACGACAAGATCAACATCTATTAACACTTTGACAAATAAACCAAACGAACACATTGCTTTGCATTGGTCTGAATAGAAGTAAAAAATAAAAATAAAAATAAAAATAAAGCATATTGAACGTTTAAAGTTGTTTGGAGTCACCAAAGTCCGTTTCATTTTTTTTTTGAAGTTTTAACGAAAAACCCGCAGCACTGTTTACTTTAACGAAAAACCACATTTTTACACTAAAAAGTCAAACATGTTACTATTCATTTTACAATTTATTTTGTCCTTATTGTTGAAACTTAAAGTTTTCAAGCTCTTTTCATTAGTTTTTTTTTTTTTTTTTTTTTTTTAGTGTTTTTTTTTGGAAACTTCACCAAAGTCGGTTTGTCTCATGCATAAAACCTAAACTCAAACTCAAGGTTTCAATGAAGAAAGAATCAAATATTGTGTGAAAATAATATTTTAATTTCATTTTAATCTTTAATTGATTAAGTAAAGCTCTTAATCTGGGGTCTGCAACAACAAAAGTACCACCAAGTGATGCGAGTTTTATGCAAAATTTGAACGTTGCAATGATTCATTACATTTTTATATAAAAAATCTATTGTTAATTTTTCAAACCATTTACTAACACGTATCATGAAAGAAAAATTGCTCAATCGAAAAGAAAATAAGCTGAATTCGACGACTATATTAGCAACAAGACAAAAATTTATCCACCTGGAGCCAGCGGCCTGCTTACTTTTACTTGGCAACATCTTATCCTTAAAATTCCAAGTCCAATCCACCTAAAGTAATCAATCCGTTGATGACCGAATAATAAAAGAAAATTAATTGAAATAGTTTGAAATCATTCTCTTGCGGCTTCCTAGGGAATGATACAGGAGACCAATTAGTCAATCGAACAAAATAAAAATGTGTTATATAATAACTTAAAAGGTATTTGATTATTTTTAATTTAATCAAATTTTGATATTGCAGTATTCTCTCTCTTATGAAATTTTTTAGTGTGATCGGTATACAAGATGGTACATCACGTGTTATTATACAAATAATGGGATATATGTGTTAAAAAGTTAATAACTTAAAAAATAAAATTTCCTACCATTTATATAAAAACACATGATGTACCACTCGTATTCCGGTCACAATGAAAATTTTCTCAACCTAACGAATCATAGGTTGTCTAATTTTTGTGCTACTTCGGGTGTGGTGAAATTTTGGTGGCCGAGTTACGTGACATCTTATTTGCTCTCCAACAAGCTTGGATTTCAGCCATTCTTTGGATTTGAGCTACATCTAAACTTGCGTTTTGAGGATATTATTGGGCAACATAGAACAAAAGACAAGTATTTTACATCATAACAAGATAGAGAGAGTATAAAAATGGAGAAGCTCCGAGTGTTGTGTTGGTGTGTTTTGTCGCTCTGGTGACAACTAGTTTTGTTGTCCCACATCGCGCAATAACAATTTCGAATTTTAATTTAAAAACATGATTTCTCCAACCATTGGCTGTGGGTCTAGTTCTCATTCCATTGTGGTATCAGGACTATGTTATGTGAATGTTGTTACACAATATTGTGTTACTCATCTGTATAACCTAGCTCTGATACCATGAACAAAATTAAATCTACGACCCATAGAATTTTTTTTAACTAAAGAATTTCGTTACGGTGTGGAGTTTACAATATATTATGTATTGTTCTTGTTCATGTGCATAACCGAGCTCTAATTCAATAGGAATTCTTTTACTAAAGTAATATTGTAATCAACTCTAGTACTAAAGAATTTCGTTACGGTATAGAGTTTACAATATATTATGTATTGTCCTTGTTCATGTGCATAACCTTGCTCTAATTCGATAGGAATTCTTTTACTAAAGTAATATTGTAATCAACTCTAGTACACAGAATGGGAAGAGATTTAAAATTAGGTGCAAGTAGTCGATCCGGTTAGATATACTGACGTGACTAATTGATTTAACTCACATCTACTAGTTAAGAAATTCTTTAAAACTGATTCTCAATGATTATATACCAACAATGTATAGCCCTAAAGCACATAATGAAGGCAAAATAAGAAGACCTCAAATCACCAGCAGCTCTTGAATATATTCCAAGGGCCACAAGAAGAAGCCGAAGTTTCATAGCAAATAAAAAGGCCCTATCAAATAAGTTTTCCAAAGTCATTAGTTTTCTACTTGATGTATCAGATTCTAACAGAGAAGGATGAACTAGGGAAGGCCAACTACTAAACACAACACGGGGCCGTTCCATAACGTTATTACGGGACGGAAGACGAAAATACAATGCACAACGAATTTCTGAATAGAGAGGTAGAATATACAGAACATGTCATGACAGATTCAAACCTTGATTTGATGAGTAGAAAAAAATCCATGTGTGTGGTATTTTCATCATACATCTTCAAAGCTTGATGCGCCATCGCATAAACCGTCTAACACGGCATGCTCAACCGCTGCACGTCCACTTGTTAAGAAAATGCAGACAAACAAGCAATGGTGTGCGATCAGCAAGACAAACAAGGTTCCAGCTAACTGAAAAACTAATACAAATATCAATCCACTAGACAAACTGGGAGCTAGTCCAAAGATTAGATGCACTTAGGAGAAACTTGCAGTGAGAGGACGGCAAAAATCGCTTATTGTCAAACGAGACATCCACTAAAAAGAGGCATCTGCAAGAAAAACATCCTCGGCACAGTAGCAGTAACACAATTAGAGTTACAAGACATCAAACAACCTAACATAAAGAAAAACTTCCAAGGTGTGAGTGCCGGGAACTCAGGATACCATTCTAAACTATACTCAACCATTTCACACCGATAATACTCTTAATCAAATCCTAGTCAACCTCAAGGGAGTTCAAACTACTTCAAACTGTACTTCAAACTGTAAAATATCAAGCAAATTACATTTACCCAAAATGTTAGTCACCTTTGTTTTCCAGATTATCTACTACTGGTGGAACAAAAGCAGTCGCACGAAAGATGAGATGAAAAAAATTAGATTTGCATACACAGATAGAAAGTAGACTACTTTTGAGTTTAACATGCTTGGACAACAACTAGAACTCGATAAGAAAGCTCTGAGCAACATTAGCCAATATCACTTTCACTGAAAGCTTAATTTGACACGAATACTGAACCTTTCCAAAAATGAAAATCCTGTACATTTGGTCACAACGAAGGAAAAAGGTTTCTTATAATTGTGAGAAATGTGAACTTTGTTTCCATAAATGAAACATAGAAAATAGGAAGAACTACTTCCGAAATAAGGTTTAATTCAACGAAGAATGGTTCTGATTAAGTCTCGTACCGTTGCAATCACATTGTACCGACAATCTAAACTCTCAAAAGAGTACAATGCAACAAGAGTTTAACATGGTTTACCAAAAAAACCAGCTGTCAAGCACTCGAAAACACCTCTGATTATGTAAAGGACCAAATGCATGCTCCAAGAAGCAACATTATGCATAAGTAAACATACTGAACTATAACCACACAAATTTGATTCAGAAATTGGGATCTAGCTAGTAGTGAAGTCGAAATGGAATTGCCAAACAGTTTGAACAACCGAAAGCGCCATAAAACACGTAGATTATGCAATAGGAAAGATTTCGAAAAATTTCAAATTCCAAATGCACCGACTTCCTTATAAATTCTTGAGCATAAACATCTCCGAACAAAGCAGATCAAGACTCAGTAGATCAATACTCACAACAGAAATCCAGATAATATAATCCACAGAACATTGAAGCACAATGCGAAATTACCAAAGTTTAAATATTTAGCAGGTCATTAAGTATATAGGCATCACAAGAAATCCATGATAAATACGAATAGATCTCGATATGAAAGCCCTGATACGAAGCTAAGAGTGACCTAACACACATGGAGAGATCAGTACTCTTCGCCCTTAGCATCCTCACTGGCGGCAGCAGCGGTGGGGTCCACGTCAGAGCTCGCAGCCTCGGACTCCGAGGCGCCGTTTTGAGCAGCGGAAGCAGCGGCGTTCTTGGACTTGACGGTGTCGAGCATGCGCTTGCTGATCTCCTTGGAGTAAACCTGCAGGATCTGAATCCCGTCCTCCTCGGTCGCGGCGGAGCCACCGGCGGCGGCGAAGGCGTCCTCCTCGATGAGGCGGGCGGTGGCGGAAGCCTCGTCGGCAGCCATGGTGCCGTAGCGCTTGGAGAGAGGGGAGGGCGTGGTGAGGGTCTCGATGAGGCGGTTGACGACGGCGTCGCGCGTGCGCTGGGTCGGCGGCCATATGCTGAAGGAGGTGAGGACGCTGGGCTTCTCTTTGTGAGCTGGTGCGTCGTGGTGGTGCTGCTGTTGGGATTCGGGCTCCATGGCGGAGGTTTGGTCTTGCGGTGGTGCTACGGCGGCGCTCTCGGAATCCGACATTTCGATGAGGATTTGTGGAGGTAAAATTAATATAGAAATTCAAAAAAATAAATATAGAAAATGAGAGACGGTAAACAATTTGTTGGTGAATTTCAAATGCGAGAAAACAATCTATATATATATGTATATATGTATATATGTGTATATATATATATATATAGGTGAGATTAAAGCTTAACAAGATGGATTACCTTAGAAGTGAGCGCTGATGGTGAAATGTTTGACGGTTCACCTTTTTCCTTCTTTATTATTTCATTTAATTTTTTGAAAAAGGCTAATTAGATTGGTTGCTGGGTTTCCTTGGTTAGGTTAGCTGTTTAGGGTCTTGGGTTTGGGTTAGGCCCATTGAATGAAGTGGGCCGCTTACGTCTTCACGTATACTTTTTAACAGTGGGCTAAGTTTGCAATGATTTTCTCTTGTATTATAAGCTGCTACTGTCTAAGTTACATGTGCATCATGTGGACAAAAAGAATTCATCGTAAAGCTTCAACTATTCTAAATCGATGCTTTACATTCCAAACCAAGAACTAATCACAATTTGGTCCAAATAGTGCAAATGTGGCTTATATGCTTACAAGTAGGTATCACATATGAAATGTCATCGATATTTAACAAAGGATTAAATGTTCAAACAAACAAAAAATATAACTTCATACAATTTCAAAACTTCAAAGTTACTAGTATAATTTAGTTTTTAGCAACTTTTAAAAGATATGGACTAACCTGTCACACCTTAACAACAATCATGTACCGAATAAGTCACACTTTTTAAGAATAATATAGAATTGTTCATAACAAGGGGTCAATTTAGTACCATCAGTCTATCACCATGCATGAACATAAGGTCTTCTTTCTGATTTTCCCTTTTCAAAACAAAAAAATAAAATTGTTCATCTAATGAGTGTTCCTCCAAGTATTCAATAAGTCTCTTACAATTTATTGAAAAAATAAAAAGTAAAATTGAAGTTATCTATTTTTTATCTAAGTGAAAGTTGCGATCTATGAGAATTCCTAAGCGGGCTAGTGGAACGTCTCATCAGGTCGAAATGCCTTTCTTAATTCTTAAACTCTTAAAAATTGATCGTGACGGTGGCCAACGCTTAGGGCGTAGGCCAATGTCATTTCACATAGAAGACAGCATGATTGGGCGTGGTTTACAAATAGCCTCCAATGGCTCGACCCTTGGCATGGCAAGGCCCAAACCTTCACCCATGTCCACCTTCTCTTCACCAACCCTCTCCCACTCAAAAGACTGAATCAAACTCCCCAGCGCCAATCCAACTAACCTGTTTCCTAAGCCAGCCCCAGGACATCCACGCCTTCCATTCCCAAACGGAATTAACTTGTACCCTTGAGAGCCCTCACCACTCCATCCTTCAAACCTCTCTGGCTTAAACTTTGTAGGGTCCTCCCAAATCTCAGGGTCCCTATGAATGGCCCAAGCGTTGATCACCAGCATTGTGTGACGTGGCACATCATATCCCCCCACCACACAGTCCTCAGAAGCTTCGTGAGGCACTAGAAGTGGGACAGGTGGGTACAAGCGATGCGTCTCATGGATCACATTTTGTAAGTACTTGAGCTTTGGCAGGTCTTGCTCTTCCAACGGACGCTCTTGTCCAATGTTTGTGTCTATCTCAGCTCTCACTTTCTCCATCTCCTCTGGATGGTTGAGCAATAACGCCATTGACCAGTCAAGAGATGATGATGAAGTGTCTGTCCCTGCTACTAGCAACACCTACAATAATGTATGCATTTCTGGTCATATCATGGTGACATGTGAGAAATAGAAAGAAGATAATATATACGGACAGGATTGTCTGCTATCCAATTTTAAGGTTACAGTTAAACCACGTTAATATTTTATATTATTTTTTTGTAGAGATAATAAGACAAAAATGACTAGTAATATAAAATGTTGACGTGGTTTAACCGTGACTACACAAACAAGAGAGCACGGAAGGGCACGGGAAGCGAGAGGGCGGACAATCCTTGTCCTTATTAGAGAGGTTAAATTTGTAGATAAAAATTTTACAAACAACAGTTAATAGTTGAATTATTACTTAAGGATTTTGTTACATTTTTTTTTTGTTGGTGTAATGAAGGTAATATTAGAGAGGCTAAATTTGTAGATAAAAATTTACAAACAACAGTTGATGGTTGAATTATTATTTAAATGTTGATTAACGTGTTTATTTCTTATTAATGACATATC